TCCATTACATCCAGCTTGTCTGAACCTTTTCTGTCATTACTGATCTTTTCTGTCCTCTTAATCTGATCCGTTTCTGAGAAATGCATATTAAAATTATCCTACCAGATGGTGTATTTTGTCTCTGTATACGTCTGGATATTTTGCCTTATATTATTAATTTGTGTTTTTTATTATATGAATACACTTGTAGAATTATATCTTTGTGGCAAATGCTTTTTGTCATCATATAGTAACACTTCATCTCTAGCAACGCTTTCTGCCTTGAAGAATATTTTGCCTAATGTTAATCTATCTGTCCCAACTTTCTTTTGGTGGTTTATTTATTATTTTTGGCATTGTTGTCTTCCATCCTTTTTCTTCCAAGCTCTCGATGTGCTTTTGCTTTGGGTGTGTCTTTTGCCCATGGAATCTAGATGCCTTTTTACTTTTTAACCAACTTGACAAAATCTGTCTAATTTTAACTGGCCAGTTTAGTCTGTATACATTTGGATGATTAGTCCATCTGACCATTGTTCCCCAATTTTATTTTTTGATTTTACTTGTGCCTCTCTTTCTGTGCTTCCCTCACCCCTCTTTTAATGTTTGAAAACATTGAACTGTTTGTGTTCTTAGTCCAGAATCAAGGCCAAGTTTCCTTCTATGGGGAGATTTTTTTCTAACTGATTGACGGAGGGTATTTATTGTCCTTTTGCGTCCTAGCTCTATGCAGTGGTCTCCCATCTGACCACTCCTTTTGCTCAGGCCCTGCGCTTTGTCTCCTGTCCTCAAGTGGCCCATTCAAGCTCAGGTGTCAGATCATCAGGCAATTGATCTACAGATCAGACATTAGCTCGGATGCTCCCTTTCTTCTGAAGTACTGAGCTTTGACAATTTCCTTCAGTTCAGTTGCTTTAAAAAGTGTATGTATGTGTGTTTTGAATTTTGGGCATATTCTTTGAGGTTTTTCTCAGTGCACCTAGTCTGTCATCACTTGCCCTATTGCAGTTATAATGCTGTCACCTTCCTTGGGTCGCAGTCCCGCCCTCCATCTTCAAAGCCAGTGTCACATCTCTCTGATTCATTCTTCTGCCTTCCTTTTCTGATTTATGAGCTCATGTGATTAAAAATCCAAGATAATGCCACGCTCAGAGAGGAGACTACACAGGGCATAACCATCTGGGGGCGAATCCCAGGAGTGCCTTAGGGTCTGCCTGCTGTGGAAGTTACCCTAATCCCAGCTTCTGTCTCTCAGCCTGTAGTTTAACTTCCTCCACAGCCTTCTGGGGCTCGTGATTCTCAGTCACATCTGTAAAGTCCCTTTTGCCACATTAGGTAACAAACACTTTCATAATTTCCATGGATTGGGATGTGGACCTCTTCGGGAGGGTCTTTATTCTGTCTATCACAAAGATCGATAAATAACATCCCTTTATTCCCTTCCTTAATTTGGTTTTAATTAAGGAACAGACAAGTCAGACAGAAGAAGATCAAAATATCGGCTTTAACATTAGCTTTTAGGAAACTAGTGATTAGGAAAGTAAGGCACATACCCCAAATGGAACTTAATTCCACACTATTAGGCATCCACCTTGCTGGGGCAGAGCTGGTCTCAGACAGCTTCCTCGGAGGGCAATGCTTGTTCACAGGGATGGGCAGCTCCAGAGAGAATTCCATCTTCCAGCTCTGTCATCAAAGGAGGTCTTCCTCCGTTGAGGACAAACTGAGTGAAGGGAGGCAGGTGGAAACCACTCTCCCCTCCCACAGAAATATGGAGGCTGGAATTGGACCCATCATAGTGACTCTTGATTTCTGTTGCAACTTCCTGTGTGGTCTAGTCTGAGGTCAGTTTTGAAAATGCTTTATATGTGCTTGAATAGAATGGGCCATCTCTGGTTGTTCAGGGCATAGTTCTTTATGTTTCTTTTATTGTTCTGATACATCATCACTTTGTTTTTTCTTTTTGGGTCTGCTTGATCTGTCATTTCCCAAGGGAGAGGGTCGTGATGTGTTATCTTTTTTATAAACACTGGGTGATTTGGTTTTGTAAATTTCTGTTTAGAGTTTGATAAGTTCATCAGTGAGAAGGCTTATAATTTCCCTTTGTGGTACTCAGCACTGCCCAATTGTTCAGTTCCAGGGGGCACCATTCACACGCTGATCTGTAAGTTTTACTGGTAGGTATATCTCTCCTTATTGAGAGAGCTGGGAGCAGGCCCTCCTTTTCTACACTGAACACAGGTGTTCGATTAGAATTATTCACTTCCTGAACGTTTGCTGGAGCTAACTTGTAAAAGCATTTGGCCTGGCATTATCTCTGTGAAATATTAAATTATGGTTCAGTTTTTAATAGGACTATACAGATGATTTTTTGTTTGCTTTTCATCATTTTATTCAGTGATTGTGTATATGTGACTGGTTTTAATATCTTGATCAAAGTACCTACTCTAGTGTATGAAATCCTTCATTTTATCTTTTTGAACACTACCTTTTACTCATTCTGTGTCATAACTTTGTATTCTCTCTTAATAATCAAATAACTGAATTTCTTTGTTTTACTATTTGTATTTTTGAGTTTAAATAGATGAGTTTAATGCATTTATAATAATTATAATTACTAGTGTGTAGGGGTGTGTGTGTGTGCTTATTTCTTCATTTTATGTTGTTGTTTCTTTTTTAAAACACCTTTATTATAGTATGGTTCCTGTGCAGTTAACTATGCATATTTGTTCTCTCAGGTCAGCCTCAGGTCAATCAAATTAGGACCTCAGGAGGTGGGACTTAGGCACCTGTAGTTCGTAAAACTCTCCTGGTGATTTCAATGTGCATCTATAATTGAAACCCTTTGTGCTAATCTATCTTCTCTAAAGAATGCTTTGTTGTTCAAGATAAAGTAGTTGAGAGATTGCCCCCAAAGAGAAACTTTATTAGGGCTTGAATATGAGGTGAGCGCCTCTTTTTTGAGAAGTAATTTAGGGATCAACATGTTGCCTTATGTCATTGTCTCTTTCGTATTGTTTTGTTAAACCCAGGTATGAGGCTATGCGTTTTCTTATTTGTTGCATGTGATAGTCCCATTTTGATGTATTTCCCTCTGTGATTGTGGGTTTTCCATCAGAGCTAATCATCTGTAGGGAGTGTGTGTGGAGTGTGGAATTGAGTCCTCTGGGTGATTTTTGCCCTTGCTAATACTGGGCCTTAGGAGTTTCCCCATTCTGGCCCATTTCGTGAGCCTGTGTGTTGATGTTAAAGAAAAAGAAATTAGTCTTCAATGTATGCCCACATGCAAAAATAGGCCCAGATACACATGCACTCATACACATATACACACAAACACACAGTTTGAATAGTAAGGAAGAATCTCAAAGCTTTAGGGCAGGGAGGGGCCCAAAGAATGGAAGGGACTTGTCCAAGGCTATAATGTGATATAAAGTTAATGAAAATCTCAGTCTTCCCATCTACTCCTAGCCTGACTTAGCCTACATTTATAAAGGGGTGTGTGTGTATGTGTGCATGTATTGGAGTGTGTCCAGAATGGAGAGGGATTACTTAGCAATTGTTTGGAGATCGAGGGTCTTGCCCTGCTTTTGTCCATTTTCTTTCCTGAAGTTTTTGGCTCTGGCCCCTCCTGGTCAACTCTAAATTGGATTTGTAGGAACCAGAAAGTGCTGAGTACACATCAGAGTGTGTGTAATGGGGCCGTTTCCTAGCTCCCCAGAGCCACAGACTTGTTTGTGGATTGTGATCCACGATTCTCTCTATCCTGCACTTTCAGAAAGCAAACCGGCAATCAAATAGTAATTGTTTCCTTCTGTGTGGATTTCACATTCCAAAGACTGCCATGGCAGTGGGAAGTTGGCTTTTCAAAGGGTAAAGGAACCTGGAATTAGAGGTCGGCCCTGCAGTGTAACCGTGGATGTGGTGGCCCTACGGCATGCATTTCCAGCAGAGTCCTGATTTCACATATTTGATTCTGTTAGCTATATAAACAATCCAATTGCCCTAGAAATTCTACCATGAACCATATTTTCTAAAGGGTTTCTTACTGATGGAAGAAGCATAGAAATCCTTTGTTGGACTGTGTTGCCCCAGTTTTGGTTTGAAAAATTTATCACTGTACTTACGCAAAGAAGACTTTTTTTTTCCCTTTAATGGTAGGTTTTAGAAAGGCAGAAACAGTCCTGTTCAGAACATGTCAGTTTAGAAACAGCTGACCCGATATCCCAGATCTCTGTGGAAATCCAAGCCCTCTTCTCCTTAGCTATTCATGCGAGCATATATAGAAACAGTCAGATTCCCCCGTCCCATCTATTGGGCAGTGGGCATGATGCTGGGAGCTGGGCTGACAGGGGCTCTACCCTCAGAGACTTCACAGCCCATAATGGGGAGATGAGATGTGGATACACACAGTAATAAATACAAGACAATAGTGTGAGTGTGTCAGAGGATGCAGACATCTCCCAGCCGGGAAGATGCAGGAAGATTGCAGTTCACTCAGCCCTCACCAGGACCAGCACACATCACTTCCTTTGCATCCTATTGATCAGAGCAAGTCACTTGACTCCCTCCCCAGGTCAGAAACCAGCCCTGGATGAGGGGAGTGGAGTGCACACACGAGGATGGGGTGAACTTTTGGTGGCTATCTATGCAGTCTACCACATTAACTAAAATAGGATAAGCTGATACATCTCAAAGCTGAAGAATGGCATCGCATTGTTTTAGTGCGCATGTCTTTGGTCGCTGGTGAGGTCGGGCTGTGCTTTACCAGTTGTCTAAGGGTGTGAGCTTCCGTCCCACTGGGCACAGTCATCTGCCTCTGACAGGTTTCTCCTATCATGCCCAGCCCAGGATGACAGATGATTTCTGCAAAGTTCACTTTGCGAGTGATTCTCCTGAGGCAGGAGTGGTCTTCTAGGCTCCTTATTCATCCCTTTCCCCTCCCCTTTCACTACATTTGCTCGTTATGTTTTTTGCCCATGGCGTCTACCCTTCTTACCGCAGTTCCTGCTTCTCTCTTGTTCCAGGCACTAAAACAGGGGCGGATATAAGTGATGGTACCTGTGAGCCTGGACTGGCCTCCCCAGCCTCCTACATGAATCCTTTCCCGGTGCTCCATCTCGTCGAGGACCTGAGGCTGGCCTTGGAGATGCTAGAGCATCCTCAGGAGAGAGCAGCCCTCCTGAGCCAGATCCCAGGCCCCACCGCTGCCTACATAAAGGAGTGCTTCGAGGAGAGCTTGGTGAGTCGGCCCTGAGCCTGGGTGGGGAACATGATCACGGAGCCCACGGGATGCCCCCACTGCCCAGGGCTGTTACTTCATCTGTGTCCCGTCCAGCCTTTCTTGCTTCCTGTCTGCCTTTAGCCAGCCGCCGCTGGGTGGCAGTCCTTCCCGGCAGAGGGAAGGGCCTAGGTGCGCAGCTTAAGCTACAGAACCTCAGCCTGCCTGTGCACCCCCAGTCACTCCCCGAGAGAGGAGCAAATGTGGAAGATTTTTTCCTCCCCAGTTAGTATGTGTACAATTGACTGTGCCATAATCCCTAGCTGGGCTCTCCATTTTCGGCTGAACCCCTCAATTCTTCTGAGAAACTGGAACCTTGTCATCTCATCTATGCCTTTATTGCTGCCCCTCCTCTTCTGACCTCCTTGCCCTAGGAATCCTTCCCATCCCTTGAGTGAAATTCAGGCTTCCTGACTTTCCTTCTCCTGCTCTCTCTGGATCAGTCCTGCACCCCTGCTCGTCTCTAAGGGAAACAGATGAGTCACCAAAGCTGTAAATATATGGCTTTGGTGACCCATCTGCTTCCCTGTAGTGAGAAGCCAGTCAACTTTAAGAGACTAGTAATGTCTGGGAATGGGAAAGGTGAGAATCTGATCCATTGAGGAAGTGATCTGGAATGCAACCACTCTAGGGCTGGGGAGCCAGAGAGGGAGCACGTGATTACCTAAGCTGAGTTTAGGGGTGAAAGCTGGGATGCAGTCTTTTTCATTCTTTCAGTGGAGGTACTGGGGATTGAACCCAGGGCCTCGTGCATGCTAAGCAGGCGTTCTACCACTGAGCTATAACACCCACTCCTGTAGTCTTCTTCTCAAACCAGAGTCCTGTAGATCTGATTCAGAATTGCAAAGTATGCGGAGAGGTAGGAAGACAGGAACAGGACCAGTAAATTGGAAGGGCGAGGTTGATGTTGGAAACTGCAGACCAAGGAGGTTGAGCAACTCCTTCCTGGAGGTCAAGTCATTTGTGATGAGACAGATATGATGACATCCCGGATGTCGTGGCTACTCCTGTTTGGGAACCTGTCAATACAGTCTTATCCCCATGTCTTCCTCTGAACAGTGAAGAATTCTTTCTTATATTCATTATATGTGTTATTCAACATTTTCATTACGTAGGCTGTCTGCCTGGGGTTCTTTAATAATATACTCATACCAGTGTGGTAGGGAGACTAATGGCCTTGCAGAGATGTCTACATCCTCATTGCCAGAACCTGTGAGTAAGTTACCTTTCACGGCAAAGGGGAAGGTAGCAGCTGGAATTAAGGTTGCTAATCAACTGAGTTTAAAATAGGGAGAGTAGCGTGGATTATCCAGCTGGGCCCAGTGGTAATCACTGGAGTCCTTATAAGTGGAAGGAGGCGGCAGAAGAGTCAGTGTTGGGAGTGAAGTGGTGGGAGAAGGACTCGACCCGCCTGCTGCTGGCCTTGAAGATGGAAGGGCCAAGAGCCAAGGAATTCGGGCAGTTGCTGGGAGCTGGAAAACTCGACTCTCCTCTGGAGCCTCCAGAAAGGAAAACAGCCCTGTCAACACCTTGATTTTAGTCCGGTGAGACCCATTTCAGACTTTTGACCTCCAGAACTGAAAGATAATGAATTTGTGTTGTTGCCAGCCTCTAAGTTTGTGGTAATGCATCATGGCAGCAACAATACTGCCCAGAGAGAAAGGTGAAGGTTGCTGGATGGGTTTCGGGTGGGCTGAACCGGTTCAGGTTTGAAAACCTCTCCTCGTCCCTCCCCTGCTTGAAGACCGTTCTTGGTGGTCCTCTCAGACTCGTGCTGATAACAGAAGTCCCCGCCTGCTCCTCCGTGCCTTCTTTTAACCAGATCGGGAGTTGCTGGGGGATGGCTTTGATGGTGGGGTTCTCTCTCCCCACAGCAGAGGGATCCCCCTTTGCCTCCCTAGAGAGGAACTCTCTGGCTGTGACTGTCCTTGTGGCTTTATGGTTCTTGTCTGGCTTCTCTCCAATCCTGTATGGCCATTGTCTGCCCACCTGTGTGCAGCTGCCCCTCCCCGGCTCACTTTACCCCCGGCGTGGATACTGATCCCTCCCTCCCTTCCTGTTAGCTCTGCTGACTCAGGCTGCGGTGTTTAAAGAACATTTTATGACGCCTCAAGAAAGTGACAGGTCCGTAGCCCCTCAGTTTGAAACCCTTGGGTCCAGGTGCATTTTAGAACTCAGCACTTAAACTTGAGAAAGGTGAGGCTGTGTGTATCATATTATATGTACTGTTTCTTGCAGATACAGGGCAGGAAACATTCCCGTTTCTTCAGCAAAACTTGTGAATATTCGCATGAAGTGGGATAAAGAAGGGTTACAGATACATATTCCCCTGCCAGTTCAGGGCAGGTTTTGCTGCCAAATAAGTTTAGCACCAATGTTATTTAAAAAAAGAACAAACTTTGATTTTCTTGTTTCTTTTTCAGAGCATTTTAGGGTTTCAGAATTGCAGGCAAGGGATGGTGAACTTATATGAGGGTTATTCCAGTGCAAAAAAACCCC